TCTGATCTTTACATCTCCAGAGATTCCTTCGCGATTTTCCGAAGTATAAGTTATGTCATAGCCTTCAACAAATAAAATGTCTTCAATTAAATGCATGAACTCTCTTCTTTTTGCGTCCATCGACCGTCGATAAGCCGTTCCCTTTGATACTCCACTCATCAACATAAACTTTTCAATATCACGACATCTTTCTTTAACTACATTTATAATATCTAATGTCCACTCTTCAACGTCATTAAAAGTCAATTGAGTTAATTTAATGAATTCTGAAGAGTAAGTGGTCTTTTTTTGTGGATTTGCAATTTTAAGTGTTCCTTTTTGTGAGAGAAGAGCTGGCAGACAACACTCAAGACTGGTTTGCATGTTGCGTTGTTCAATGCATCTCTTGAAGTAATTTGACATGTTCTGAATTATGTGATCCAATTTGCTATTTATATAAGATTTCAGATTTGTTTTGCTGAAGTTTTGATAAATAACATACTGGGTAAACAAATTTCAAAAGTTGTTTTTTGTTTTTGTGTTTCTTTCATAAGTTTTAAATTTAAAAAAGTGTAACTTTAATTCGGTCAAAGGTGGTATTAAGAGAAAGGACGGACATGGGGACGAAGGACGGGAATATAGGCCGAAGGACGTCCTTTGTGGTTTAGGGATGTCCTCCCGCTATAAAGGGCGTCCTCCCTGTGTATATGGTGTCCTTTCTATTATTTTCGTGTCCGCGGCATTTTTTATTCATTATCGAAACTATATAACGAAGTATATTTTTATTATAAATATACAATCAAAAAATATAATTATTTCCAAAAATAAATTAATTCAAAGACAAAAACTATTTAAAAAGTAATTTTGTTATAAATTAATGGTTTATAATAATTATATTTAATTTTTTTTCATTTTACCATTCGGTTTTCTTTGAAAAACTAATTAAATTTGCATTATTATAAAAACCATTAATATATAACGAAATTACTTTTTGTTTAACATTTGTCTTTGAATTTATTTATTTTTGGAAATAATTATATTTTATAATAGTAAATTCATGGTAATATTATAATTCATTATATAGTTATTAAAAATGCCGCGGACACGAAAATAATAGAAAGGACACCATATACACATAAAGGACGCCCTTTATAGCGGGAGGACATCCCTAAACCACAAAGGACGTCCTTCGGCCTATATTCCCGTCCTTCGTCCCCATGTCCGTCCTTTCTCTTTATAAAATAACAAACCCGGGAATAAAAGTTGTCATCCAGATTATTTTTGTTAAAACAAAATATAGAATTATATTGTTAAAAAACACTCACTTTTTTATTGCAATTAATTAAATTTTTGTTTTAATAAAAATTAAGTTTATGTTTTTTTATTTTTTATAATTGAAACAAACAACATATTCGATTATTTATTTAATAGATTTTTAAGTTATTATTGTACAATATTGAATAAAAGAATTTATCAATAAATATAATACATTAATTTTTAAGTTTTCATTTATTAAAACCAGGGTAATAAATTGAATAAATATTATACTTATAAGTTTGTTTGATTTAAATATTTACTCAAAAAATAACCCGTGGATGAGGTTTCTCATTAATACTTAATTTAATTGGTTTAAACAAACTAATTAATAGTATTTCCAACTAATAATTAAACAATTAAAAAATAATATCAAGGTTCAAATAAATTATAAAATTAAGTTTAAATACCAATAATTAATAATAAAATTGAATGACAGATTAAACTATTTAATACTATTAAATTATGTAAAACGGGAAAACACTTAGGAGCTAAAAATATATTTTGGCTATTTAAGATTCAACTCTTTTTTAAACAAGAAAAAATACAATCATGAAAAACAAATTAAAAATTAGAAATATAATTAAATCTGAAATAAACTGGGTTTCAAAAGTCTGTACTGGGGTGTCCCGTTTTTTTGCATTTATTTTGTTTATTATTTTTGGGAATCGTTTTTTGTAATAAATTCGCTTATTTTTTCCAAGTCAAAAAGAGAAAAACAGTCTTCAAAAAATATTTTTTTACTTGAAGAATTTATTAGGATTAAAAAATTCCATATAAAATTTGAAATAACGGGATTTTTGTTTTTGAAATACACGTGAATGATCCCAAAAGTGCATTTTATAAAAAAAAGCTGATCAATTTTATGCCAAAAATTTTCAAAGTCGAGTCTTCATTTATAATAATAAAATAAATAACAAGCGCTAAAGTATCGCGTAATATCGATATACTGATGGTGTTGTCACAACAATGGCTGAAATATCAAAACACAAAATTATTAATTGTTTGCTCTTATTTATTTTTTTTTCTTTAAAACTCGTTATTTCATTTTCTTTTGTTTAAAGAACAAAACCACATGTTTGTTTTTAATAAAAATGAAAAACTAACGAAACTGATATTCAGTTACAAATTGACACAAACAACAACATCCCAATTTATTAACGTGTTTATCGTTGTATGATTTGACCAACAACGTTGAGTTTGTGTTATGAAGTATAGAGTTGTGGTCAAATCAAATAACGCGATCAGGTTTTTTGGAAAAGGCTGGCTAATATTCCGATAAATTCCCGATATTGTACAAAAATAATAGAACGGTATTGGTATTTTTTTCAAAATTAAGTCTGTACTTTCGATTTTTTGTTTTTTTTTGTTTTTTAAGAAAAATAAAAAATAAAAAACGGGACTTTAGGAAGTTTTAAAAATACTGCGGTACAGACTTTTGAACTACAGTTTATTTTGATGATGATAAGATTTTTATTAAGATAATTAATGTTTTCAAAAAAATAACTCACGTAAATAATAATTTACTATTCAAATGGGTTATTTAATAATTATTTTTTTTAAAAAATACTAAAATATAGTTATTATATAATTCGCTAAACCATTTATTTCTTATACCTCATTTTATATTTATTTTTCATACAAACCAATTAATGATAATAATCATTTTTTTAAAAACTTAATAAACAAAATGCCTTCCAAATTGGACGCTTATAATTTCCAGGTTGTAACACGTTACTTTTTCTTTAGAAACGATTTTACAAACTCGATTCTCGTCTGTAAGAAATTTTGTTGTATTTTGGATCGTTTTCGTTACAACCCCATTCCAATATCGTCCAAACGACTGTTTCCGTATATGGAAACGCAACACTTGTACACAAAATATGATGTTAAAATACCAAATATTAATAATTTTGTTGTGTGGTATAAAGTTGATTATTCAAATTCAAAGAACTTGATAAAAGACAACAATTGGGAGTTCAAAAATGTTCGTATAACATTAAAAGACATCAAATCTCTTAATATTACCAATTTCGACGATATGAAAAAAATATTAAAAAACAAAAGTATCAAAATTCTTGGTAACCATTTGTTTACTTCTTTCAACATTAAAGAATATGTTCTTCCGGTTCACGTTACCAAACTTGAAAAAAACTTATTTATTGAAAATAGTTCTATTAAAAGTGTCACTTTATGTGATGGAATCCGTTCTATATCAAATTGTTGTTTTAAAGACTGCATCCAATTGACGTCAATCAACTTTCCATCGTCTGTGTCGTCTTTTAAATACGATTCTTTTGCGAATTGTGGCTTTGAATCATTTTCGATGCCTGACACTATTTACTCGGTTGGATGTGGGGCTCTAGAAAATTGCAGAAATTTAAAAGATGTTGTTGTATCACAAAATGTGAGAACGATACATGCTACGTTTTATTATTGCACAAATCTAACTCGAGTGGACTTGCCAAGTAATTTAAATGAAATTAGTTATGACTCATTCATGGGATGTGTAAACCTCAAACGTATTACCATTCCAGATACCGTTAGGTTTGTATTTAACCATGCTTTCGAAGACTGTTTGAACCTTCAAGAGCTTATTTTTAATGAAAATTGTTTTATTAGCAATTCAGTATTTGACGGCTGCACTTCTCTGACGAAATTTGTTGTTCCTACTTTTAATGATAAGGTTCTAAATGGAATTTCGAGTGGTGAAATTGATATTTACAAAAAATTTTACACTGATTTTAAAGATATTGATGAGGAATATATAAATATGGATAGAGTCGATTATTGTGGTGATTATGATGATAATGAGGGGGTTTGTTTTATTTTATAAAAACACTTATATTTAAAAACAGTAAAATAACACACAGATTTTTGTTCTTTCAAATAACATTCAAAATATATATCCGCGTTTGTTTGATGGTAAAGAAAATATGCGAAAACTATATAACACAGACCAAGTAACTCTATTAAAGAAAAATTGTTTCAGCAGTTGTAAATTTTTGGAAGAAATTACATTCAAAAAAGACGTCAAAATAGAGAGTGGTTGTTTTGAAAATTGCACATCACTCACAAAGCTTGAACTTTCCAATGACAACATGAAAGTGAGATTTACACCAACTTTTCAAGAAATAAAAATTCTTGATACATTTGGGTACAAATATGACAAAGTTCTTTTTGAATTTTCGAAAGAAGATATCGATTATTTTAATGATATTAAGAAATGTAATTATTTAGTAGAACTAAGTGGTCATGTCAAAGGCAAAAACAAAATACAAAAAATTAAAATCCCACATAACGTTATTTCAATTCAAGATGAATTTTTCCATGAAAGTAAATTTAAGTCCATTGATTTGGGAAATGTCCGTCAAATTGGAGATAACATTTTTGGTCCAAAATTACTTCACATAACGATACCAACAACACTTACTCAAATTGGAAAAAATGTTTTGGATGACTGTAAAAATCTGAAAAGTATCGACTTGTGTGGGAAGAAAACATTTGATGGGTTTGTAAACATCAAAACGATGAGACGTTTAAATGAAATCAATGTCATATGTAAAAACGTATGTGTGCCGATGGAAATGCTTGCCTATTTCAAAAATTTTAACATTAAACTCAAAAAATCGACAGTTTTACATTTGTTTTCAAATTTTGTAGTCCCACAAAATGTCTTGAGCATCTCAGAAAAATGTTTTTTGAATTGTTACAATCTTAAAGAGGTTGTTTTGCCTTCAACTTTGACATCAATAGAAAAAATGGCATTTTTCAATTGTTATTCGATAAAAACATTAAACCTTCCCGATAGTCTCAAAATGATTGGGTCGTGTGCATTTGAAAATTGTGGGTTGACGAGTATATCAATACCAACCAGTGTCACTCAAATTGGTGAACCAGCATTTTTGTGTTGTCGTGATTTAAAAACTGTTGTTATTCCAGATATAATAGTCGAGTATTGTAATGTATTTGAAATGTGCCCTTTGTTATCACATGTTGAAATTGTAAAAACACGTGAAATTGGTTTAAAATTCAATTCCACTTTTGGGGATATTTGTTTCAATTTGAAAAATATTAATATTCCAAACAATGTGACTTCTATTAAAGAAAAATCATTTTCAAATTTTCTTACACTTACAAAAATTTCTATTGGAAAATGTGTCGAACAAATCGGAAAAAGCTGTTTTGAGAACTGTGAAAATCTTAAAGAAATAGAAATTCCAAGTTCAGTGACTTATATAGCAAATTTCGCGTTTAAAAATTGCTCAAAATTGGTCCAAATAAAATTTACAAAACAAGTGACGGATGTATCCCCTACAGCTTTTGAAAAATGTGACAAATTAACAGAAATATTTATTGAAAATAAAATTGTTACTACTGTTGATTTTCCAGTCACGTATGAAATCGCTCAAATGTTTAAAACAAATTCAATTTATTGTAACAACGTCATATTTTTTAAAAGTGACATTATACGATATTTAAAAATTAAAGTTGTAAATGGTAAAAGGATTGGAGAAATTCCAAAAGGTGTTGTTAAACTTTCTGAACAATGTTTTCGTGGTTATAAAGAAGTTGATGTCATTCGTATACCAAATAGCACACAAAAAATTGGAGATTTTTGTTTTTACCACTCGCCTATAAAACAAGTTTTTATTATTGACAACCACAGCTTTATAACAACATTAAAATTTTGGTTGTTGTTAGTTTGGGGAAAGTGCAAAACTTTAAATATATTATTTTTGATTGTGATATGTTCTGGTATATTTATTCTATTAATATCTATCACTCAACAAAACAATGATATGTTTCCATTTGATAATGACAATTGATTTTTGATGGGTATAAAACAATTTTAGTTGATAAATTTATTGTTTATTTGTCTTGGAAAGATTAGAAATATAAACCAATACTTTAATTAAGATCCAAAAACACAAAGTAAAAATAATGCAAAACAAGGGAATATTAAATATATGATGAAATACCAACCAGTGTTATAAATAGCTATAAACGAAAATAAAGCCCACGAACACACAAAAAACATCAAAGAAATTTTTCCTTCATATTTTGTTCCAAAGAACAATTCAAAAACAGAAAACAATCGACTCAATGTTTTTGATCTTGTATAATAATACACTTTCTCTGAAAACAGGTACACATCCGATTGAATAAAAGAGCACCATTCCATTAAAACATAACACAATGAAATTGTAAAACATAAGATGACAATATAATTAGTAACTTGTAATCCACCATAAGTAAAAACAACACAATACCCAATAAATAAAAATGCAATTAAAAACTTTTTCCAATGTTTTGGTTCTTCTCTTGCAAACATAAAAGCAATTAATAACATTGCAATGTTTGTCAGAATGATTGTTTCATATTGAGAAGATGCAAACGCATTTAAAAGACAATCTTTTTGTTTTAACAATGAATATACAAATTTTAGGAACACTAAAATAGGGAAACCAATAAATCCAAATAATGCAAGCAAATTGATTGATACTTTTTTAAACTTGATTTTGTCGATAACACTTTTGGGTATGATAACGCCTTCTGTTTTTTGAATTATTTTGTTGTTTTTTAGGCTATCCAAATTTTTCACAGATGCACTTCGATTTTTAAATGAAATTTTTTCAACAGATTTTGGAAGAACAACTGATGGACAAAATACGTTGGCACATTTTAAATTACTAAAAATTGTATAATCTCGACTTTCTTGACAATACAACACCGAAGGTAAATACAACTGTTGATACTTCTTTTGTTGTTCATTAATTTTCAATTCATAGAAATCGTTTTTAAATGAAGAATTGTATATAAAAGACCCAATTTGACCATCAACTAAAAAACTCAAATTTGAATTTGAAAATGTATCATAAAGTTTGAAAAGTTCTTGACGATTTGACTGACTCATCAAATCCCAACTAAATTCGATTTTTACAATTATATTGACTTTTTGTGGAATTTTAAAGTTTTTAAGGTTGTTGAAAAATGACACGAATTCATTTTTTATGAATAAGTAAACAATTTCAATTGTTTTTAGACATGGGAAGTTTTTCCAATTAATAACTTTATTTGTGGAAATAAAAATTTGCTTTAAAATAATTTTTTCGACTCTAGTAACGTTTTTTGGAATATCAAAAACAGAAGAAACATATAGTGGATTTTTGAGTAAGTAATTTTTATTGGTACTGGTGTTGACATCTTGTTGAAATAATTGATCAATTTTCGATGTGTTTGTGCGTTTGCTCAATATGTTGTCTGTAAATTTTACAATTGAAAGTCGATTGAATTTCGATGATAAACAATTTTGAGACTGTTGAAGTTGAAAATATTTATCAATAGGAATAGAAAGAGTTTCAATGTTCGCCAGAAATTTCGAAATAATTTCAATTTGTTGATAATCGTTTAATTTATCTTTTGTCGACCAAAAATTTGTTTTCAATGAATTGCAACATAGCAAACACGAACGAGAAACAAAAATGAAGTTTTCAAGGTTGGAAGGTGGTAGGTATAAAACAACGTTCATAAGATAAACTGATTCTAAAACAACCATTTTAACTTGTATTTGAGTTTATATTATTTTAAATGGAGTTTCATTTTTTTTTAAATGACTTTTTATAAAAAATAATAGATTAGTTTTATTATTTTTTTAGTCAAACATAACTGTTCGTTTATTTTTGACCAACAAACCAAATAATTATGGGAAACTATTAAAAAACAATTAAATTGGATTTTTTGTTTTTATTTAAATCATTATTTGTGTTTTTTTTGTTTCACTTTTAATTTGATTGTAAAATTTTTATAACATTATATATGATATATAATATGTTATATACAGTAAAAAGTGTTTATTTGTGGGTTTTTAAACAGAGAAAAATTATTTATTTGTGGGTTTATCATGGAATTGTGAAGTAAATTCTTTTCACCAATTTTTCATTAAAAACAGTGTTATAGAAAATATAGTAGTTTTTTTTAATTATAAAAAACTATATTATTTATCTAAATGGACCTAAATTCAAAGTTCGAGAGCAAAATAATTATTTGTGGGTTTTGCATTTGATTGGTCCATTGACCCACAAATATAAAAACCCACAAAAAGACACTTTTTACTGTATATTTATTTAAATTTAGTATTATTTTTTTAATTAATTTCATTAATTTCTTTAATTATATATTTATTAATAATTGTTATTTTGTGATTCAAAACAAGAAAGTCAACTTTTTTCTTTGATTAAAGCCCTCCATTTATCTTGAACAAGAAAATTATGTCAAAAGTTCGTTTTGGTCACAACCAGGCGTTAACCAAAATTTACACGGTTAATGCCGAAGCCCAAAAATGCTTCAGAGTTATTTTATTGAATGTTTTTTTTTCGTTTTTAAGTCTTTTTTTAAAAATTCGTTTAAATGGGAAAAAGTTAACACCAGCTCCCTGTTTTTTAAAACAAAAACGAGGCAAAAAATTTATACGCCTGGATGTGGTTTTGATATTGTAATAATTTTTATCATAAATGGTTATTAATTCAACAATGGTTACAGGTTTGAAAACAGAATATTTAATCGTTGTACATTTAAATGATCAACTATTGGTGCGACAAACAACAAAAAGACACCTTTTATTGTATTATATTCAGATTCAATCTTTTAACAATATCTGATGGACATAAAGATTTTGTTTTACCTAAAAAGAAGCTATCAAGTAAATTGGGAATAAATTGTTAATGGCTTGTCAAAATATTTGAATTCTTTAAGAAAAAAAAGCACCAAATAAAGTTCAAAAACAGATAAGTTTAAAACTAATTGTATTAATTAACAATCTTTAATTATAATTAAAATCTTGTTTTCATTTGTGATTTTTGTACATTTTTAAAATTAAGAACAAAGTATGATCTATGAAATTATTAATATATTATATTCGTATTTCTAAAATAAGAATGGCAGTAAAAAGTCAACACATTAAGTTTAAATTCGAATTTTTATGATAAAGAAGTAATTAACAATGTATCGAACTACTATTAATTAATAACTTATTTCTCAATTAAAAGAAAAAAATCGAAAACCAAAGATTTAAATAATATCATAAGATAATAATAAAAAATTTATAAAAACAATTATTGTTATTTATCATTTTTTAAATTTAAATACCATTCGGTTTAAATTTATTTTTCATGGTAATAATAAGTCATACAGTATTATTTTAACATGATTCTCTATTTACAATAATCATGTTTAAAACTTGAATTAAAGACATATGACTGGATGAGACCCATCCACTGGAAACATGTATCTATTTTTTCTATCCACTGGACAAACCAGTTTCCATGGATGGCAAAAATAAAAATTATATAAATAGATTATTTGTTTTTATATGTAAACAAAATTTTATTTTGCCGAATTATTTTTTTTCAATGTTTGTAAAATAAAAAAAATATTCAGATGTCTCACAAACACTAAAACAATTGTAATTATAAATCAAAAATTTTCAAAGTACATCGTAGTATAAAAAACAATGTACATATTTAAAAAGGTAATAATATTAGATCAAGACATAATTACAAAAATTATAATAAAATATCAAACATATCAAATATCATGATCATGATCATGATTTCCACAACATTTTGTTTGTATCAAAAACCCAATTAAAAAACTTTCAAACAAAAACACAACTAAATTAGTTGTTTGTTCTTTGTTGTATATCAAGTAGTATATGAGATCAATATTCACAAACATCTGTTATTTCAGTGTTTTCCTTGGCATTTTGATGTGTACAAGTATATTCAACATCAATACAAATGTTAACGACAATACACATTTATTAATAACATTAATAATACTGTAATTATACTCATATTTAGAAATATATTAAACAATAAACATAAGTAACATCCAAGTGATTAATGAAATATCAATTAAATTCTTTTAACAATCTCAATTTATTACTAAAAATACACAATAAAAATTATATTAACAATACATGGTTAATTTATATAATTATATATTTGAATCATTTAAATTGTTGCTGGTTTAAAAAGTCAAAACAACATAAAATGAAGATAAACAACCAGATATAACAACACTATCATCTAATTTAAAGAATAAAATTATGATACATTTATACTTGAAGTGTGTATAAATAAACTAAGAATTTTTTAATTGGTGATTCATGATCAAATAATATAACACTTATTTAAAAAACAATTTATTAGTTGTTATCATGTTTTTACATATACCAATTAAATAAAAATACTTATTAAAGTATTGTATTAAACATAGAGATTATCGTGTATAACTAATTATTATAAATAACAATAAAGTATATTACATATTTAACATACACAAAAAGTTGATAATCTGCTTTTTACAACATATTGTTTTTAAAGTTATAACTAAAATAATATAATAAAAAATATAATGCAAATAATCATTTTGTATTGAAAAAGTTTTTATATTGTATATATAAGCTTAAGTGGTAAACAGTACCAATCATTTTATTATTTAATATCATTTTATTTATAAAATCAAAAAGCGGTCAATAAAAAGAAAGCGTTTTAAACCTACTTGACTACCATTATTTTGCAGTGTTATCTCTTTTTTATTATTTAATATAAAGTTAAAATTCATATGAAATGTATTATTTTTTATTTGAGCACAACCAAAATTAAAAGTTTATCTTTTATTTAATTATTTTAAAATATACAGTTTATATATGCTTATTAAACATTAATTAACATTTAACAGACTGTATTTTTAATTATAAAGAAAATATATACAATAATGTCAATACAAATGTAATTGTTTATTCGATTTCAACTTGTAAAGAAGTTGTCTATTAATTAAATGTATTAATTTCCCTTAGACTATTGATTTTAATATATTATGTGTATGTACATGTGAGCCACAAGTCCGAACTTAAAAATATTTTAAATTGTGTTATTCTCTTGATATTGATGTTATATTTTGAATTTGTGGTTTAACGTTTCATGTTTACATATTTAACAATAACCATTTTTTTATTTTAGGCTGTTTTTCAAATGAAAGTGAAACAAATAACAGTAAAACCCAATAAATTAACTGTTGTAATTAAATTCATAATAATAATATTAAATAGGTGCCTCCATTTTTTTGATTGTGATATTTGTGGTATTATAGAAATACATATATTTACTGTTGTTTTGTATTTTGAAAAACAATAAAACAATAGTTAAGAAAAAAATAATTGTATTTGATGTCTCACTTAAATGTAATTCTAAACAAAATATGTTGTATGATAATTGAAAACCTCCAAATAGTTACACAATAAAATTGATAACAATTGTTTATTTTTAATTTTTCTTTGTTTCCACAATATGTCAAATAATTTACACAATAGTTACAATAAATAATAGAGAATAACAATGTCATTAACAGTCATTATTTAACTGAAAATTACATTTATATACACGGTATTGTATATCTATTATAAATTGATTTAAACATTAAATCATGTTGATAACTTTGTTTTATAAAAAATTAAAACCGCTATTTTTTAGGGGTTAATAATGGTAAAATTTAAGTTATTTGTGTGACATTTTTTGAAACAGAAAAAACAATTTATTCTGATTGTTTTTATTGTGTAACTTAATAATGTGGTCTCATTTTCCTTCCGAAACTTTTTATATATAATTACATATAATCAAAATTATGTAAATTTGTTATTTAACCAACTTTTTAATGTTTTTATAATATAACTAACAATATTAATCAAGTGTATTTTTTAAACACAACGACATTAAAAAAATTAAGTGGAGCCACTTATCAAATATTAAATATTAACAATTTGAATTTAGTTGATTTAAAGGAGTTTAACTGTCAATAACTAAACTTTCATTTCGAAAAGTCCAAATATAATATAAGGCAACTTATGGATTTAAACACAATATCTTAAACAAAACCCATTAAACATTAAACCAAGTTTAAGAGTATATATTTGTTTACAACAATTATATTTCCAACTTAGTGCTCTAAAACAATTTAACATAAGATATTTAAAATAAATTTGCTCGCTGTCAAAGGGTTAAAAACTTCAATAATAATCCTTATGAACAAAATATTCGTTTCATGATACAAACAATCAAAATTAATCAATTTTTTATAAAATTTTTAATAACACACAAAATCAAATAATAACAAACCAATACAGTTTAAATAAAAATAAAAAGGTGTAATAAACATAAAATTTGATTTTGAACAGGAAAATCAATGGTATGTTTTAATTATAATTGTTTAAATAACATATAAGTGTAAACTATTGAATAAAAAATAATTAAAACAAAAAATTATAAACTCACATAAAAATAAAAAACCACGTTATTGTTTCTACATTGTAACTTATACTTGTTTAAATTTGTACCTTAAATAACGAATATAACTTTATTTAAATTAAATAATTATTTAAAAAATTGTTTTGTAACAAGTTTATATCGTTTAAATTTTACAACAAAAAACATGGTTAATTTAAATAATCTATAATAATTATACAACATTTTTCAAAATAAACCAAATTTGGGTAATTCAACATTTCCTTCATGTGTACTTTATTTTTTTGCTAAATATTTTTTATATATGAGCAAAACAAGTTTTTTGGTGTTTTTAAAAAGACAAAAAAATAATTTTATATTTAGAAATAAATGTGTTCTATTTCCGCTATCCAGTGATTTTTTGCCATCCAGTCATACGTCTTAAATAGAATGTTTCAAAATAAAAATAATCAAAGTAATATTTTTTTAAAAAATAATAATTATAATTATAACACAACTAGTACTGATAAAGCATATTTTAAATAAAAATATCACTTTAAAAGGGTAAATACAAATCAAACCCATTTTTTTCAATTTTACACCGAAAACGCCATAAACTAAAAATTATAATTCTATGGTTTTTGTGATGATACTTTTGTATGTTGTAGTTGTCATTTCCACAACTTCAATAGAAGTAGAGTGGTGTAAATACCAAGACAAACTTGAATGTTGTAATTTTGGAGAAAAATGTTCACCACAATATCAATGGAGCTTATTTAATAACCAAGTTGAGTTACCTTATATCAGTGATGGGTTTATCATTAAATGTGAATTTAATTCTGAACTCAATATCACAATCAACAAAAATTCTTTTTATACTTTGAAATTTGATGAAAACGGCAATACATAGAATTACTCTAAACACAACAATGCTTTCATTTTTGTACCAAACCAATTACAAAAAGATTCAAAAGATTCCAATAAAAAAAGTACCACAAAAGGGTTATGCGACAATTGCAAAGTTTGTGTTGGAACAATGTTAACTTGTACTACGTGTAATGAAGGGTATTATGTAAACTCTGGTTCGTGTTCTAAATGTCATTTATATTGTGCAACATGTTTTAATTCTTCGTCCACTGGGTGTAATTCCTGTAAAGATGGTTATTTTTTAACTCAAATTTCGAAATGTTCTGGGTGTGCATCTGGGTGTGCAACATGTTTTGGTTCAACGAATACAAATTGCTATACATGCAAAATTAATTATTACTTGTCTGCTACGAATACGTGTAATAGTTGTCATTATACTTGTGCAACGTGTTATAACACTCTATCATACACGTGTTACACATGTAGAACTTATTATTATTTGTCTGGAACTTCTTGTTCTTCTTGTGCATATTCATGTGCAACTTGTTTTAATTCATCAAGCACAGGATGTTATACATGTCGTAATGGGTTTTATTTAACAGATGTTTCGAAGTGTAATAGTTGTTCATCTAATTGTGCAACTTGTTTCAATTCGTCAAGCACGGGATGTTACACTTGTACAAATGGATATTATCTGGAAAATACATCAAAATGTAGTTCCTGTTCGTATTCATGTGGTAATTGTTTTAATGGGTTAAGTTCTGGATGCTATGATTGCAAAGAAGGATATTTTTTGTTTGAAGATTCAAAGTGTGTCAATTGTTATGGCGGTTGTTCTGGCTGTTATGGTTCAAGTATGTCTTGTTATGCCTGCGAAAATGGGTTTTATAGTGCTGGGATTGATACATGTCTCAAATGTCCAGCCGAGTGTGCTACTTGTATGGATGCAACAACTTGTACATCATGTTACTATTCATATTTCTTATCAGGTTCGGAATGTTTAAAATGTGATGGTTCTTGCTACACATGTGATGGGATGAATTCCAACAATTGTTTGACTCGTCGACCATATTATTACTTGTCAAATGGGTATTGCCTCAAATGCGACTCTTCTTGTAGAACATGTAATGGAATTAATACAAATAATTGTTTATCTTGTCCACCTTATTATTACTATTCAAGTGGATCTTGTTTAAAATGCAGTCCGAATTGCAGTACTTGTAATGGAGTAAGTGAAAACAATTGTTTAACATGTAAAACGTATTTTTATTTGACAAATGGATATTGTCAGCCTTGTGACTCAACTTGTTATAAATGTAATGGGACAACTGCATATAATTGTTTGTCGTGTAATACTGGGTATTATTTGTCAAATGGAAATTGTCTTGAATGTAACAGTAATTGTTATGGATGTGTTGGAACAAGTACAAATTGCATCAGTTGTCATACCGAATTTTATCTTTCAAATAATGTATGTTATGAATGTCATTCAGAGTGTGGTGGGTGTAATGGCCCGGAACGAACAAATTGTACTTGGTGTGGTGAAGGGTTTTATCTTGACACTTATCATGGAAAATACAATAACACATGTCAACCATGTGGAAACAATTGTCTTTTTTTGTGAAACCAATGAGTTTTGTTGGGGTTGCAATCCCGGGTATTATGTAGTTGATGCGAGTTACTGTGAAAAGTGTTTGGTGGAAAATTGTCAATTTTGTGGTTATGATTTGTGTTATGAATGTTATGATGGGTATTATGCATTCGGCTATGAATGTCACAAATGTCCGAGTATTTGCACCACATGTTCTGGTCCTTTTACCACACAGTGTTTTGGTTGTGTTGATGGATATTACGTTTTTTCATACGAATGTCTTTCTTGTTCATCATCATGTCAAACATGTTCAATAAATTCGACAAATTGTTTATCGTGTGTACAAGGAGAGCGATATTTATGGAACAACCAATGTCTAAGTTGTAGTAATTGTGTGTCTGGGCATTGTATATCCAACACAACATTATGTGATATGTGTCAAGATGGTTATTATTTAGTCGATGGGATATGTATCTCATGTGGATCAAATTGTGCCACATGTTCCGGGTCTTCATCAACTTGTCTTTCTTGTAAAACTGGAACATATTTAGTCGGGTCTTTATGTATTGTATGTGACATTAATTGTGCTTCGACATATTGTAACGTATTATTGGGTTGTACCAAATGTAATAATGGGTATTATCCAATAAATAAAAAGTGTTCTTCGTGTACCCCA